CAATCTACCCCGTCAGCTATAACAAGTTCAGCTAATCAATTCTAACCAAAATATAGCAACTATAACCAATTCCTAATCAAATTTTATGAACAAACTCAAACTATACGATGAACAACAAAGAAACAACTGGAATTATTTTGATTGAACAATCTTTAAACAACAAATCTACTTTCAGATTCAACAACAATAACAAATAAGTATATTCAAATCATGAGCTCAAATTCAAATTAAACTTAAACAAAATAAATAAACAGATTGAAATCACTAAACTCAAATAATCAATTGATCTTCAAATTAAATCCAACAAAATACAACAAAGATACATGATTCAAAATTAATCAAAAAATTAAAAACCAAAACATAAACTCACATTAAATCACTGGATTAAAACGAACTTAAAAATAAAAAAAATGAACACGAATTAAATCTAAATTAAACAACAAAGAACGGATTCAAGCGATTTAAACTAACACTCTTCTATATTAAAACTAAATCCTCTTAAATTAATAAAACAAACTGAAAAATAATTAATTGAATCTTCAACTTAAATCTAACAACATTATAATTAAACTAATCAATTTCTTCCTAAAAATAAACAAGAAAAATGAATGAAACAAACTGAAGCAAGATAAAAAAAACGATGAACATGAAATTAATATCAAACATATCTGATTTCAAATCCGAAAAATATCAAACAAATTACGGACAGAAACGAAACTTAAACCAACTAACCAGATCGGAACGACGAAGAACTTGAATGAAAACAAATCTGTCCGGAAGCGATTATCGCACCAAAATCACTCGAATCTGCCCGGAAACTTAAACAATAGACGAAGCTCGATGGAGGGGTGTTTGGCGACGACGAGAACTGAAGCAGTAGCAACAAAGTAGCCATGGCCGCGCGAAGCTGGAGAAGAAGAAGCAAGCAGCAACAACAAAGCAGCCATGGCTGTGCGAAGCTGGAGAAGAAGAAGCATCGAGCAGCAGCCATGGTGCGACGAGATGGAGCTGGGTTTCGACGAAGAAGAAGCAGCAGCTACCATGGCGACGTGAAGCTGGCAGTAGCAACACGATGGAGCAGAAGCGACGCAGCAGTGAAGGATGAAGAACGCAGCAGCAGCACATCCGAAGGAGCTAGCNACACATCCAAAGGAGCTAGCGAGGCGGCGAACATGGAGCTCGAGCTCGATGATGAAGCGAAGAAGATGAAGCAGCGGCAGCAGGTGGCTGCTCCAGGTGGTTGTTTGGTCGCGAGGCGATGGAGGTTTGACGTGGGGGGAAAGGGCTGGAGGGGGAGGTCATTGGGCGAGGGGAAGGGCAGCCATGGGAGAGGATTTGGAGGTTTGAAGAAGAAGAAGGTAAGAGAGGGGGCGGATGGGAGTTTTCAATAGTGAAATTTTTTTAGGGTTTTGTTTTTGAAATGAAAGATAGGGAAATAGAGGTGTTGGGTCTTTGGGGTTATGGACTGGGTCGACCCGGTTTGGAATGGACCGGGTCGTAGAG